GGAGAAGTGGGCGGACTCTCTGTGCGGAAACTATAGGTACACCTTTGGTCTCAGTTTTTTTCTTTTGTGTTAGGCCTCAATTACGTGGAGAACAGTTTTTCCGGGAGGGAGCCCTCCTAGCCGAGTCAACTTCAAGTCATTTTACACAGATGATTCGCAACGGCGATTTTTAGCGCAACACAACGTTGCAACATTGTTGCGACATTGTTTGGAATGGTTACAACATTGCCCCAACATTGCAACGCTGTGTTGCGCTGAAAATCGTCGTTGCGAATCGTCGCGTGTAACATGACCTTTAAGCGAGCGTCAAGAAAAAAGGTGACCCCTTTGCTCAAGGCAACAATGCTCGCGCATACTCTGATTGTCTCGCCTTGACCGCGTTGATGCGGCTGGGCGACCTTAAGTGTTTATATCGAGAAATGTTGGCCCGGCTAGGAGGGGGACCCAACCATCGAGACAGGATTACCCGCCAAGCTGGCTCACCCTTCTAGCCTAGCCATCCCTTTTGTTTCTCGTGTGAACTGTTCGCCAGGCTTTGTAAGGAAATGTAGGAAAAGTTGTGTTGCCAAGGGTAGCTCGAGTAGGCGAGTGACTCTTCAACCCGTGACACGCTTTTCTCCGTATAATCGAGGCTTCTTTTTTTCCTTTTGTTGTTAAAGGCTTTTCAGAGTGAGGTGCACTTATCATTTGTTTTTGTCTTGTTTTTTCAGCGGTGGCAACAGACGAAAGCTGAGTACAGCAATTGCTTTGGTTGGAAATCCACCAATTATATTCCTGGTAAGCACCTTTGCACGGTAAATTAAACTGTACATCTTAATGTGGTTCTTTTTTTTACTGTTCTGCCTTTGGAGGACAAAAGTGGTCCCTCGAGCCGGATTAGAATCCATGAGCTGGCAGCTACGGATAGCCAAAGCTTGAGTCCTTTAGGTCAGTCTAAAGAAATGGAAAAACTAAAAAACCTCTGCCCGTTTATCTCAGTGGGATAAGCGCCGATCTACCAAGCGGGAGGTCGCAAGTTCAAACCCCAGCCGGACCATCAACCAGGGTCTTACAAAAAAAGACTAGGGAGATCATGCTGGCCTTAATCTAAGACTTTATCCCAGGTCAGATGATCGCTTCATTGGGTGATGACGTCAATTGCACGTCACAGAACCCACAGTGCTGTTAAAAAAAGTAGGAGACCAGAGCTAGACCCCTGTGGTGTGGTCTGTCTGTTACGGGGGGAGGGGACTGTCACGTGCCCGCAGTAATTTGCTTCACGCTGTTGTGGTTACCCTGCCAAGAATTGTCGAATCTAGTAAAAAGAGAAAAGAATTTTGAGCAGGAGTCACGGAACAGAGTTTCAAGGCTTCCTGCCTGGACTCTGCTAATGCCTGTCTGGATCTTCAAAAAAAAGGAAATTACCATTTCAAATTATGTATGCCTTTTGTTGGTCTTGCCCCAGTGCGACATTTGCATCCCAGCATGGCGGTTTTGTACCACGTGAATGGCAAGCTACAAAGGGCCTATTTGAAACCACTAAGATGCTTCATTGTTTGTTTTGTAGGATGAACCCACCACTGGTATGGATCCAGTTGCCCGACGCTTTCTCTGGGATACATTGACAGGTGTCTTGAAAGACGGACGCTCCATCGTGCTGACGTCACACAGGTACACGCATCAGGGACCTTAAGATCCGATGACGGCGAGGGCAACGAGAACGTTAAAAGAGCAGTAGGTTAAGATTTGTTTCAGACGCCAACCTCCTCTTCCTATTTGTTCAAAAAATTAACTTCAAAGTAATAGACTGAAATATCCTCGCTATTTTAGCGGTTTTCGCCTGGCATGGCCAAGAGCGCTTCTTTGCAGGCTAAGAATGGAATAATTACGTACCAGTGAGGCTGAGGCTTTAGAGAATTTTTGTTTTGTTTTGTTAGTTTATTTTTTGTTATGCAGAGACTCAAATTTGTAGCCGATGATCTTAGCGGTTAAAATGTTTACGTGGCTTTCTCTTTCAGCATGGAAGAGTGCGAGGCTCTTTGTACAAGACTGGCGATTATGGTGAACGGACACTTCAAATGTCTTGGCTCCACTCAGCATCTTAAGAGCAGGTAAGGCAAGCTCGGGGCTTGAAAAATTCTTGAACTCCAGCACGGCCTTTGGGCAAGCAGTTCTCACATTTTTTTTCATGCCCAGGGCAACTACGTGCTTAAAGGATAACTTTCCTGGACACTTGTCCATCAGGCAAGTGAGCTTTAAAATTTACTTGTCCAGGAAGAAAATCTACTTGTATTGTATTGTATTGTATTTTTACTCCATCCTATGGATAATACATCAGTTGTACAATATGAATTAGTACAAGGCTGTTTAAACTATGTGTACATAATAGCAAGAAAAAAATTTAGAATTATTACATTATAGTAAAACTAATTATGACCCTTTAAGAAGATTGACTTTATGCTGTTATAGCTTTGTTGTTCGTAAAACACAAACACGCACGCACGCGCGCACACCCACACGCACACAAGTCAATATTGAGCAAGATAATATTTTTTAAGTGCCTTTTTGAACAGGATTTTCGATGATTTATTGCGAACAGAAAAGGGGAGATTGTTCCAATAGTATTTTCCAATGACGGTAGTTCAAAACGTCTTGCTTCTTTCCTTTCTTTGACATATTCAAATAAGACACTAACAGGAACTCTTACACGAAAAACTAAATTATTTAAACACACAAATAAGGCAACAAATAACACTAAACTAGCCAGCTTCAAAAGACGCGGCCATCATCATCGCTGACCGCTGACTGCTGTATCCCGGACCACCGGAAGAGACTTCTTTTTCGAGCCCTGCAAGCTCTGTACTGAGCCATTCCGTTCCTTAGTACCGTTACCTCGATGCACCATGGTAGAATGTTCTTACTACTGATCGACAGAGCAAATGAGTTTAATTCGGTATGTTGCAGGTTAAACACGTCCCAAACTCTTACGATATTTTTGCGTCATGTTCAGTGAGCGTGAATAGAATGCCTTCGTCATTATACAAAGCTTTGTAACTACATTGTAAGGAATCTTTGGTATAAAATAAGCCTGTAGATGGGGAGCGTTTGATGTCTTAGTTTATTCTTTCTCTCTTGTTCTTAATTTCCCATCGAGTTCAAACTCAGATCGGCCGTTGCTCTTCTTGCTAAAATCATCCGTTATTTTATTCACCAGATTTGGAAGAGGGTATACATTGATGGTTAAGGTCGGTAGCCACCAACCTACGGTCTCGCTCACAGGCTCTGAAGGTAAAGTAAAAATTATACCTTTTTGGGAAACTGCCCACCTATCCCTCCCCTTAGCCAACATTTAACACTTACTTCTCACTTAGGGCAAAAGGTTGGCTTAGGGGAGGGGCAGGTGGGCAGTTTCCCAGAAAAGTATAATGATCCCAGTAAATGAATTGGTTGATAATGTTAACGGATTCAACGAATTGAAAACTTCCTCAGTATAGTATCAATGTGTAGAAACTTGTGGTTTCCCAAAGTATTTTGTCCGCACGTTTCCCGTCAGGGTCGCCTCAAATCGTAGGTTAATACATTGAACTTCAAAATTAACTGTGGAAACATGTAGTGTACGTAATTCAGTGGTAACTATTAACGGAGCCAATGAATGGAAATCAAAGGCGCAGCCTTGATCGTTAAGAACGTATGAGAAAGATTCCAAAATAACTTGCGCTAGAATTTCTGACATAGAGTCAGCGCGTGGAATTTTGTGTTTTAGAATTTTCTAAAAAAAAATAGTGTTGTTTTAAAATCTAATTTTAGGCGCTGTTGGGAGAAGAAGGGTGAATATATCCTCTACATGTCACAATATTTGCGACAAACAATTGTTATCTCCCCATTTTGTTGGGAAATTTAGTGTAGGTTTTTTTTGTCCTACAGCATGCACTTGCTCCTCTTTTTTCACGTCAGGTTCTTTTAAAAATGTCTTCGGTTTCTTGCTTCTAGTAAATCGTGTTGAAGTTGTACCCGCCTTTCAAAGTCCCCATGCTGTTCCTTCAGGCCAGCCTCAGGTCTTCGCCAATCCAACGGCTCAATTGGACAACCCTGATTCCGCCGCGGCAATAGATGCTGTTAACAGAGTCATGCAGTTTGTTTCCAGTGCCTTTGGCGGAGCAACTCTTATGGACAGTCACAGTGTAAGTCGCGCAAGTCCCAGTCCCCTTCGAAGCCTTCATTGTGTCCCTGGAGAAGTGTTGCGTGACGACACGGCTGTGTTGGAGACTACTCAAGTCCTGACTGAGCTCAATTTTACTCTTAGGAAGCCAAACCTGTATTAAGCGGACACTCTTGGGGAATAACCAGTAGCCCGCTTAATACGGTTCCCAGTGCCGAGAAATACAGCTCTAAGTAAAATAGGCAATGGCGTAATTTCGTTGCTATATCAGCTACGATTTCATTGCAACCCTGATCATAACAAATTTTCATCTTTATCTGATACAGCCGTGGTGGTAATTTTTCAAATCTTTGTTAATGACGACGTAGTTTATGCTCAAACTTGGGAGGTATTGACTGTGAAAAACCCCATTGAGCCACCTTAATAGAGGTGGCCGCTTCATACAGGTTTGACCGTTCTATCAATACTATACTGAACCAAGCAACTGGGAAAATCATTAAGTTCACGCTCTTTAGTCAAATTTTCATTACATGAAGTTCTACTTTTTAGAATTGTAATGGTTTGTGCATTGTTTCTTTTAGGGAATCTTGCATTACCAGATAGTTAATGAAGCTCTGAGCTGGTCGTACATCTTTGGTCAGCTTGAAAGAAACAGAAGTGCGTTGAACATTGTGGATTACAGCATCAGCCAGACAACACTAGAACAGGTAAAGCTGTTAAGCTCATTTTTGAGGAGCAAGAGTGGCGCATTGGTGAGAGCACTTGCTTTCCACGTGCAATGTGGCCCGGGGTTTCTGGGTACTCAAGTTTTTCCCTCTCCTCAAAAACCAAAACTACCAACTTCCATTTCGATCAGTTATGGTAGACGAAGAACCACTATGTGAATGTGCTACCTTTGAATCATTGTGCATCTTTTTATGTATTTGTCAGTCTTCTCAATTTTCCAAAACTCAATCTTGAGAAAACGCCTGAGTTTCTTTAGCTCCAGGATTGTCTGGGTAAATAGCGCGGGTACAATGGCCATCTATGGCGACGCTGCGTTAATTACCTAAATAAATAAGATTATAATTGCGGGCGACAGGTTGCTACGCATGCATGACACGTCTGTAGCCAGCATTCGTTTTATCAGGTGAAACGTTCGCAAAGCACTAGCGTTGGAGCAAGGGCGTTTTGACCTTCGATCAAACTCGCCCGCTCTCTCTAGCCTTTGGTTATTACCAGTCATAAAGATTATAAAATACTGGGTCTGAGAGTTGGCACTGGTGAACATCGTTTTTGAGCATATTAGAGACCCGGTCAGCGTCACATTTGTGGGATGTGGCCTTATTATTTCTCGGTTTTTCTTGGTAGGTTTTCATCAACTTTGCCAAAGAGCAGCACTCAGAAGACCGCACTTCAGTCAAGCGAAAGTGCATGTGTTTTCCTTGCTGTCGGTAAATGGGTAATCAATGCTTGCTTGCTGAAGTCCCTGAGTACCAAACAATAAAAGTTCCAAACTAGAAGCAATTTTAAGTAACCAAAAAATAGATGATAAATAGTGTTGGTGCTTTGAAGGTAAAAAGAAAAAGTAACGCAACGAAGGAAACCAGTGGTACATATAGAATGCAGGATACTCATGTCTGGAAAGAGTCCCAACTCTTAAAATTTGTCCCGACTGCCTGCGCTACTGTGGTTTTGTCCTTTTAATGTTTTTGTGAATATACTTTAGCTTAAACCCTTTTCTCTGGGTACGTCATAAACAAGTGGTAATAGTGAAGACTATTGCCGTGGGCTCTTTTGTATAATGCTGAATATAATGATAATATTTATGATGATGGTGATGGTGATTTAAGATATACTTAAACTATATATATACTTAAGAGTGTGTCCATGAGAAAACCAGGCAGAACCAGGCAGGAGGTGATAATGCTCAAATCACCGATTTCGCTCAAACTTGGCACAAATGTTAGGTATCAGGAGTTAGCTTATGTGACAGAATGTCAGGTCAAAATATTAAATTCCCTGGGAGATCCGGGCTCCCCCTGTAAAAATCGCCATTTTGCCCGTTTATGCATAATTAATTAGCTAACTTTACGATGCCAGTGCAACAAACATAAAAGCCACCTGGAACTTAAATGCACTGAGAGATAATCTGACATCATAAGACTTTAAGCACAATAAACTGTTTAAAGTCGCCGATTCGATTTGCCCCCTCTTAGCCCCCTTAAGTTGGGTCATCATTTCCAAGTTTTGAGTAAGGCGTAAAATTAGGGTATTTTATTCCCAAATATCTCTGATGAGCAACCGCTTATCTTTATAACTTTTGCATGAGTAGTTAAAGCCATCACTTAAGTTGAGAAAAAGATCATAAAAAGTTTGGGCAATTCACTTTCTTCCATGTGTTGACATAAACTGTTCATGTGACTGAACGACTCTTGCATATTTCATCAAAATTCAGGGCCTCACAATATTCGTGTGTTTGCCTTTGAATGAGGAGAAATCGAACAAAAAAACTCATCAGACAATGATTTAACATTAATAAGGGTAAAATCATAAAAATTGTTGTGCAAGAAACGCTAACGATGATTTTTGATAGCGATATACGCGATCTTTTCAAGTAAAAACAACATACAAAGATTTAATTCACAGTTCTACTTACTTTAACAATTTCGCCCTAAAAACAATATAAACGATCAATAAAATCCATATACGTATCTCTTAGATGTCTCAGCTGCTAGTTTGTGCCCGCTTTGATTTGTTCTTCATGCCACCTTCGATGTCCAGTTCAGCGTAGTTCAGCCACAGGTAACCCAGGCTCTGTGATAGTACCACAGTACGGTTCCAGTAAAATTACAGTGTTTGTATGGGGTAAAAATATCATCCTAAAATTTCTAGGAAATACTAAATAAAGATCAATGAAACTTACTCTGCAGTTACTTGTTGTTGTCCTTATTGCTCCAACGAAGTTTCGTGATAATTTGCAGTAATTTGTTCAAATTCACTCTATCTACAATAATAATATACAAGGTAGGAAACACGAGGTGCCATTTTCGCCGACATGCTCTCATTCAACACAACTTTTTCCACGAAATTCGAACTCCAACGGAAAATAAACATGCCAGGATCGTAGAAATAGGATAGCAGCAGATATAGAAACCAATGAAGCTTTCCCAGATAGAGAAACGAATCCCACAGACTTGGACAAACTCGAAGAATATAATCCAAACACACCGAGAATACGCTCGCCGAAGCAGCCGGGCCAGATCAACGCGCGGCCAAGAAAATGAAGCCTGGGCACTGTACAAAAAAATTCCATCCCGGGGGTCCTGGGGTGACCTTTCTAGGGACCGATACATCATTTGCCCAAGGCCACCCTCCCCTGCCGGAAAAATACTTGATAGAAGGCAATTGTTCTTCCTAGCCAATCACCATTTGCCAGAGCAAACCCCGCACACGCCCCTGAATTTAAATGGCTAAAAAAAAGTAATATAATCAGGAGAGTCTGCGGAGTTACAAGGCGTCCCATTTCTTTTACTAAGGAATGCAAATAACAGTAATGAAACTAATGAAATAACAACGCGAAATGCTTACAAGGCGGGCTAAAAACAAGGTTGAACAAAAGGTAGATGATGACTGAGATACTGTTGCTGTGAACTCTCGAGCGAAACTATCGTAAATAAACGGTGAAGCTTACAAACTAATGTCTAAAATTATACAGAAAATTGCCACAGAATATGAATTGCGATAACTGAGACGAATGTGAAAGGCACGTGCACTAGTAAACAAACAACTAGCGTGATTAACATATTTAGCGATTAATGCGGCAGTAACACGCCGACTTCTTGTCAATACAAGTGAACGCTCTATCGGTTAAATATGTGAATCATCGTGATACACCTCTCTTTGAATTTGGTCCTGTTGTACAAATGCCTCGGTAAGAGCCAAAATTCACTTATATCTTTTGCTCGTTTTAAGTTTTGTAAATCGTCCTTTGTTGTTCTTTCCTTTGCCCTTATAACCTTGCCCTATTGATGTTTGATAAACTTTCTGAGGACCAGCGCCAGGAGCTGAATATAGTTCGAGAGGAAAATAATCTCTTTATAACAGGCCATAGTGATTGGCTAGGAAGAACAATTGCCTTCTATCAAGTATTTTTCCAGAAGGGAGGGTGGCCTTGGGCAAATGATGTATCGGTCCCTAGAAAGGTCACCCCAGGACCCCAGGATGGAATTTTTTGTGCAGTGCCCAGGCTTCATTTTCTTGGCCGCGCGTTGATCTGGCCCGGCTGCTTCGGCGAGCGTATTCTCGGTGTGTTTGGATTATATTCTTCGAGTTTGTCCAAGTCTGTGGGATTCGTTTCTCTATCTGGGAAAGCTTCATTGGTTTCTATATCTGCTGCTATCCTATTTCTACGATCCTGGCATGTTTATTTTCCGTTGGAGTTCGAATTTCGTGGAAAAAGTTGTGTTGAATGAGAGCATGTCGGCGAAAATGGCACCTCGTGTTTCCTACCTTGTATATTATTATTGTAGATAGAGTGAATTTGAACAAATTACTGCAAATTATCACGAAACTTCGTTGGAGCAATAAGGACAACAACAATTAACTGCAGAGTAAGTTTCATTGATCTTTATTTAGTATTTCCTAGAAATTTTAGGATGATATTTTTACCCCATACAAACACTGTAATTTTACTGGAACGGTAATGTGGTACTATCACAGAGCCTGGGTTACCTGTGGTTCAGCGTCGTGACTCGCTGTACGACTAAAATTCCTTAGCCATCAGTTTACGCACCAAAATCCAAATCAAGTTGTTTTAGGACAAACCAATACGAAATGTAGAAAGCCGATTCTTAACCCATTGAAAGAATTATTTCTGCCACTGTTGTAGCTCAATTCACACGTTGCAAACGTCCGACATCTTTGACATTAAATGGAGCCCGCATTTTTAAGCAGCGGTTGCCACCATACGGAAAGATCGTATCGGGAGTCAGGAACCAGGAGCCAGGAGCCAGAGTTCAGTGAACAAAATGACTTTCCGACATTCTCTGAGATTATTTTATTGTTATTGTATGCTGATAAATAATTTAGAATTCCAAATCTATTGGCAACTTTATTCAGACCATGATTATAAATGATCCCATGTCTTCTCAAACTCGGCGATAGAAGTCGTTTTGTCTTCGTGTTTTGGAAAGAACTGTTTTTTCTATTTTAGTTGCACGTGAAATAGCAGCGAAGTGAAGCCGGATGTTAGTGCAGACCAGTTCAAAGAGACAAATAAAGCGTGAGCGTGATTTTTTTTTTTTTTTTTTTTTTTTTTTTCATACTGGAGTCCCTTCTCCCCGGGGGAGTGTCCAAATTGCGTATAAATGCCCTACCCTGCTGGCACCAGATTTGACTGTCATAAACAGTGAATTTTTTTATCTCGCACGGTCTTTTGGGGGTCTTATAAAGCCTAACTGTGGCACTAATGTTCCCAAGTAGAATTCAAAATACACCACACTTTCACATTGAGTTAGATATTTTTCTCAAACAACCGTTTCCATATGTTTAACACCCTTCCCACATTCCCTCCGAGAGATACTTCAACTGTAATACTTCGATTTCAAATTTCTCACCCTACCCAGGTAAGGTCAATTTTCTCGTCCTAGACATCGATCTCGGAAGGGCCTTTTTGCGTACTCTTGGGCACCAAAACCAGTTTAGTGCCAAGCCGTGTGCCGTGCTGAGGCTGGCAGATGTTTAATTATGGACGGAGGCAACAATTAAGCTACAGTCATTTGATGTTTCGGTCCGTGCGTGGTCGGAAGACACCCAGTAAATAATGCCCATGGGGTTGCCCAAGGAAAATTTGGGTTTTACGAGAGTCGAACTGCAGGAGGTCTTTAACGAGGAAAAGTGCGGACACATCTACTTTTTGGAGTGAATGTACTGCATGCAATTTTTAAGTTACAATATACTATAGATAAATCTAATTTGTTTCTAAAATTCCTCTCATACTCCGAGTAGCTTAGGACATACAGGGAACGCAGAGATCAGACCATCGCATCATGGAAAATTCTCAATCAGACTGTCATCGTAAACTGAGTGGTCGCGGTCGCTTACTGGATGTGGATGTGTTCGTTTACAGGAGGTTCCAACTACAAGCGCTTGACTTGATAATATATTTGGTGCATGTTTTGAATAAGTGATCGCTTATTGGGAAGTGGTCACTTAAGTTGGGTGGTCGCACGTAGGTTCGACTGTTAAAATTTGTTAAAATGTAAGAGAAATCCTAAAATTGTAATACAGTGGAAGCTCTCGTACGAGGGTGCCCTCGGGACGAGAAAAAGGTGTCCTTAACTGGATCTGGCCACTTACAAGAATGAATCTCATATGCAGCATAGTTATGCAAGTGGAATTCAGCCACTTTAAAAGTGGTGTAAAGGTCAGATAGCCGCTTACGGAAGCTCCTCCCA